TGTTCTGTTCACGCCACGCCCTGCACCTGAAAAGATCCGCTTGTCCACATGCTTTCTGATTCTCATGTCCGTCACAGATGTCTCATCTTCCCGCAAATCTCCTTTATTCAACCCCAATATATAACTCATTATTTTTTATCTTAATGTATGCTTCCTGAACATGTTTCATTCTCAGCCTCTAATCCTACATTACAGAATAGAAATTTCTGTATCTGTTACCATTATGTACTAGGCCCAGTCCTTTGAATATATTAGGCAATGAACAAATGAATATTTCCTTAATAATATGGAGGGAAAAAACTATAGGCCTTGGTGCTGATTGGGGGAGATGATTTCAAAGACAAGAACAAAAAGAACTTGGATTTCAGGTTTAGCTGAATTGAAGAAATATCATGACCTCAGCATGGGACAGTGACTCTGACAATGAAGGTGATTTGCGAATTTTAGGTGACAATAAACCATCTAAATGGGAATGATAACCAAGAAGCTAGACATATAAGTCTCAAGGGGAATATAGATATAACAGAGAAAGCTTTGAGAATACATATGACCCTCAGTTTTTTTTTTAAAGTGTGTGTGTTTCTTCATTAATAAAAGACCAGAGACAGTCAACTTATAAGGAGAAAAGGAATCAGACACGATGGCACATGCCTGTAATTCCAGCACTTGGGGAGACTGAGGCAAGTGGATTATAAATTTGGGCCTAGCCTGAGCAACCTAACAATTTAGAGAGACATTATCTCAAAATAAAAACTAAGAAGGGGCCAAGGCTCTATGTGAGGGTCCTGGGTTCAATCCCAAGTGTTACTAAATGTGTCTGTATGAGGGCTCAGGTTCAGAAGTTTCAGCTCATGATCAGTTGGCCCTAGAACTTTGGCCCTGTGGTGACAGCACACTATGGTAGGAGTTCATAGCAGATTGAGTTTCTCACCTCATGGTTTCCAAGAAGCAAAGAAAGCCTGACATCAATTATTTTAATGATGACATCCCAAGGTTCTTAATTTCTTCCTGCTAGACCCCACCGCCTGACAGTCCCATCACCTTCTAGGAGAACCCATGGACTGGACACCAAGCCTTCAATACATGAGCCCTTGGGAGACATTCAAAATTGAAACCACAGCAAAGTGTGCAGATCTCTATCCTAAAAAAACTGGAAACCAATACACACAGAAACTAGAATCATAGAATGGAGACAAGAACTAAGATAGTAAAGAGGATCACATTTCCAGAAAAAGACGTTGACAATGTCACCCATAGAGATACCCACCAGGCACTCACCGAGCAGGGCTGTGTTGGACAGCTAGACTATGCCTGGCTCTGTTGGAGTTTCCAAGTGGAACATAACAGGGACCCTGAAGAGTTATAAGTCAGTGAGGGAGAAAAGACAACACAAAAAACACCTATCAGACTGTGGTCCAGAAAAGGTGACGCAGGGGAGGGGATGAATGATAGAGAGGGTGTAATGACAGGTAGGGTGGTAGGAATGACCTCACTTTGGAGGGGACCTTTGAGCAGCATCTCGATGACGCAAAGGAGCAGAGCATGCAACCAACCATCTGGCGGGAGTGTTGCAGACTGAGGAGACAATAGTAGCTTCTTTCTGGGATTTTCACCTGGTCTGGGAGGGAAGTGGAGAGGACATGAGACAGAAAAGGAGAGACACTCTTGAGAACTGAGCAAGGAGAAACTAGGTATAAATACAGGACCAATGAATGGAAACCAGGTGGAGCTGACACAGAAGAAACAGCAGGACCCGGAGAAATCCCAGCCCTTCTCTGGCAGGGACTGTGCTTCCAGGCTACAATCCTCAACCAGTTCGCTGGGGTGCCCTGAGCAAACTGGTCCTTCATCAGTGCCACCGTGTTGCCAAGGCAACCACAGAGAACCTCTGAGTAATCTTCAGTCTTAACTTTCTTGACTTTTAAATCCAGTTTTCACTTAGTTTTGCCCAAGTCCTGCTGCTCTTTCTTTCTTGATAGTTCACCCTTTATTCTTTTGTCTTTTATTGCCCAGCCCTGGAACAATGATAATTTCCCAAGGGCATCTTCTTCCTCCTTAGACACTGTTTCTCCTAACTCTGCCTACCTTCCATTAACCCCTACCAAGGGTTACATTTAATGGTCAACTGGTCTGGGTTAAGGGACTCTGGGAGAGGCAGCTGGCTCACGGGGGTACAGCCGACTGCGCTGCTCCCAGATGGAGGATACGGGCCGTGCCTTTGCAGGGTAGCTCTCCTCTGGCACTCTTCCTCCTGTGCTTTGCTTTCCAGCTACCGTGAAGCGAGAATCTTTGTTTCCCTCCATCTTTCTGCCATGATGCTGCTGTCTTGGAGCCAGCTCATCCTGAACTGAAATCATAATCCAAGTTCAACCTCCCTACCCTTCTTTACACCGTGGGTGTTGAGTATTTGGTTTAGCAATGGGGAAGCTGACCAGAGCTGAGATCATCCAACATAATCTTCCCCTAGTAACATTGCTTATATCGAACCGGCACTGTATTCTGCTTCTCTGGTCCTCCTTGGCTGGAATGTTAGCCACTTTCCATGTCACTGAAGTCCAAGGTGTTGACACTTTCTATCAAAGTTCTGCTTATCTCCTCCTGTGGCATTCTTAACTTGTCCCTCTCCTGGCCCCGAAACTATTTCCAAATCATGCCACATATTCAGCCATATCATTTAGAAATCATTGCTGAATGGACCCACTGAGGATCACCGGCTTCCCTCACTCTGTCTAGCCTTGCAATTCCTGCAGCCTTGCAGTGGTGTTTATGTGCACGGCTCAGCAGGCATTCTCTCGGGGTACATAAATGTGGGTATCACGTGGCTGTGTGGTGTGAGGCCACGCTTTGGTTTGTTAGCCCCAGGATGGTTCCTACATCCCCTCTCTGTCCCCTGCTGGAACTGGGATTGTGTCTTTATGGTTTTCTGTATACAGGAGCCCAAAGGGGACTCAGGTGTGGACTTGAAGGATTTTGATAAGTTTATAGCTACATCTTAGAGGATAGAATGCTCTCTCATTCTTTGAATCTTCAGCACTGTGTTAAAAGGTGCCCACTATGTGTTCAGCAGTGTTGACGGTTTATTGAATGGGCTTTCAAAGACAAAGGATTTATTTCAGTACTTCATACTTATCAAATAGGGAAAAGTCCAGCACGAGCTGACCTAAATCTTAATTTTTAGAGGCGACTGGATATTTTAAAGGGAGAATGAAGAGGTAAGAAAGGGGATAATAGGCAGAGACTCAGTAGAGTCGAGGAAGTAAAAAATTACCAAAAGCAGGAAAGGGTGTTGGCCCACATGCAACCCAACTCGTTTTGTTTACCAGCATTTATCAAAAGTAGGCTTCTACTTCCCACAGAGACTGAAAGACAGGGCCTCTGTCTTCAGGGCAGAAAGAGTAAATTCCTTTGGTGGCCTTGAATTTTCATGCAAGCTGGCTTGAGCTCTTAGAAACTAAGTTAGTGTTTGTTCAAATATTCATTCATGGGTCAAGGTTGAAACCCAGTAAAATGCAGGGCCCAGTGGAGTCTGGGAATTTCGGTCAATGGGAGAATCTTTGTCAGGAGAATGGTTATCGCTACAAAAAACTAGGAGAAGCCTGAGAATTTGGGCAGAGGGCATTCTATGGAACGTACTTCCTGTTTCTGCAGTAAAAATTTTTGGACTCCTTGAGTTTGTAAGTTTGTATATTGGCAGGGCAGATAAGTTAGGCCCCGAGAATTGAGGGTTTATTCCCAGGCTTAGATCTTGATATAATCATAAAGGAAGAAGAAAGCACACAACGATTATGTACTTACAGCTTTGAAAACAATAGCAGTACACATAGCAATTCTATTTTGAAGCTAGGTTAAAAGACAAAAGCAGGCAAGGCCCACATCTTACAGCAAATATGGATTGAAACTACACTGGCCTTTACCGTTCCGAAATTACAGGCGATATAGAGGAATGAAACTCCTGATTACTATGTCCTCGACTTTGTGTTCTCTAAAATCAAAGAATGAATTTTAGGAACAACGAAGGTTAAGAGTAGAATATATTTATTGAGAGAAAGAAAGCTTCTGCCTGCAGAGAGACAGAAGGGGTCCTGAGCAGGTTGCCCAAGACTGTCTTTTCCAGGGACTTTTATAGAGTAAAATCACGGGGAAGATGGGTTCAAGGTGGGGGAAGTCTGGGAACTCACAAGGCAGATGGGCATAAGGTGGGACATAAGTATTAGTTAGCCAATAAGATTAATAGTTCAGGTAAAACTGATTACATCAGGGACAATTGGGAAAGCAAGTCACACAGGAAGCGGGCATTTTTGGAGGTGTAATCTTTCCCCTAGGAGGATGGGATATTGACTCCAGGGTGATAGGGAACTAATTAGAATATGTCTTTAAGATGTGGATGCATGGGCCTGGGATTTAGCTCAGCGGCATAAGTGCCTGCCTTGCAAGCAGGCAGTCATGAGTTCAATCCCTGGTACCGATAAAAACGAAAAAGACAAAAAAAAAAAAAAAAAAAAAAGATGTGGATGCGTTTGTTTGATCCTTCCTCTTGAGGCCTAGCCCACAGCAGAAGGTGTCTGTCTCCCCCACAGCTGTAAGGAATCTGCACTGGCTCTTTTGAGGGCCTTGGTGGGTCTCACTGCCTATAATATTTCTAACAATCTCGGCTGCCTGCAACCCAGGGACAAGCCTTGCCACCCACCCCAACGTTGAAATCCCTATTCCCAACATAAATAGCAAGTTCCCAGACCAGATTTGTGCTATAGCCCTTCCCTGAAGAATCTTTACTGGCTCCTGACCCCCCTGGTCCCCTTTTTTTTTTTTTTTTTTTTTTTTTTTTTTTTGTATTTTTACCGGTACCAGGGATCGAACTCACGACCACACGCTTGCAAGGCAGGCGCTTATGTCGCTGAGCTAAATCCCCAGCTCCCCATTTTTTGCTGGGAATGAGCACCACCCGCCAGAGCCCACTCCACCTAGACATCACCCTGGAGACCCAGATCCTAGCTTCGGAGGAGAGAAGGAGGCCGGGGACAGAAGCTGAGGACGGAGAAGAAAGTGAGAACCCTCAGGCTGACTGCTGCTCGGTGCAGGCCCAGCGCTAAGGTCAGGGGAGGAGTCCTCCCGCCGCGACAGCTGAGCCGGGAAGCTGGCCTCCCTCCTGCAGCAGCTGGCTACCAAGAACGCGGGCAGGGGCGCCTGGCCTTCCGCTCAGCTCCCAGAACCCGGCCCGTGTGGCCTTTCTGAACTCCTGCCCTTATCCCGGGCCTCAGCTATGTGCAGTAAGAGAAGCTGATGATTTTTAAAAACCCAACCCCAGCGATCGCTGGGGGGGGGGGGGGGTCTGCTGAAAGAAAGCGAAAAAAGGCAAGGCTTTGAATTACATGCTCAGCACTGATGAGCATGAGAGCTGCAACCGGGATGAAATCTTTAGCCCTCAATCCAGAGCTCCTCTGCCAGAGAAAACAATGAGAAACGTGTCTCGCCTTTGTTCACCGACTGCTCCATTACATTCCCCACCTCTGCGATTTTCATTCTGTACTTCGCCACATGCAATTTCGGAGCCACTCGCTAGAGGTCGCTGTTTATCGCCAGCAAACCGCAGCTCTGCAGGAGGGTGGCAAGGGTCCCTCCGCCCTGCAGAGGCCGCAACCTGCAGGCTTTGGCAGAGGAAAGCCACGCCCAGGCCGGCTCGGTCTTGCCTGCAAGAACGTTTGCCGTTGCTCTCACCCACAGAATCACAAAAGGAGGAGAAAGCAAAGTATTCAAGGTGCTTCCAACAGACTCTAATGTGGGTTTTTAAAATCCTGAATAATTTGTGACTTTTCAATATGCCCCCTGTTCCTACGGGTGCTTCCCAGGTGACCCACCAAGCAATCCCAAGGAAGGGCTTGAATCAATCCCGAGGCTCACGTCAGACTGCACCTACAGCTAGCCACTACCCCTGTCGCCACTGGGGGAGCCTTTCCCAGCTGGTGCCCTGCCCAGAATACAAAAACAGCTTCGAAACAGAATGACAGGACCGTGGAGCTGCTAACACAGGACGCAGTCAGCGCCTCCCCTGATATGCGGATTCTAGAGAGGCTACTCAAAGAAAGAGCAATGTTCTAACTGAAGGTCGGTATTAGTGAGCTAGGGCTATATCTATCTGCCAGACTGCTTATTTTTCTTCTGGGTATGTTTATCTGTCCTTTGTTCAAGCCTAACTTTGGAGATGTTTGCAACATGGACCAATTCCAGAGGCGATACAGAAACCAGAGTTGGCATAAAAGTCTGCAGTATACTTCAAGGCAAGTCAAAGTATTTTATTGTTTGTCTTTTTGCTTCTGTCCGTTTCTCAAGACCTAAAGAGGTGAAGGGAGCTTCATCCTGCTCACAGCCAAGGATGCAAAAAACAGTGCAATTCAAAATGAATTTGGCACAGGCTTCAAGTTTAAGGGATATCCTAGAAGACAGAGCCCAAAGCACCAGCGTTAACTGAAAAAAAAAATTCCTGGTTAAAAATGAGGACTTTGTTCTCCATGTAGACAGCAAGCAGAGACCGGAAGCAGCCTCCTGGGGACAGAGCAGAAGTGACACAGCTTCTGTATGCTGTGGTGTTCTACACTGTGGTCCCAGGATGAGGGAGGTGGCTGAGCCGGACCGGAAAAAGGGAGGCATTAAAGGTGATAGAGACAGGTGGAGGGGGGAAACAGCACCTACATTTTCCAGGGAAGAGGAGTCTTACTTTACACCTCTTTTTGTGTGTGATACAACATAATCCTATGATCTGAATGTATGCTCCCCCCCAACACACACACAAAACATTCGTATGTTGAAATCTCATCCCTGGGTGATAATACTGAGATAGGTCTTTGGGGGTGTGTGATCCCAGCCATATAAGGGATCAGTACCCTTATAAAACAGACCCAGGGGTCTCAGAGAAGGGCCTGCCTGTCAGGAACAGGCCCTCATCAGACACTGAATTTGATGATGCCTTGATCTCCACCTTCCCAGCCTCCAGAACTGTGAGCAAAGCATTCTGGTGTTTATAAATTACCCAGTCTAAAGCATTTTATCACTGCAGCTCAAACTAAGACATAAACGTAAATTTATTTCTTTAATCACTTTAAATGTTTCAATTTGGGTACATTAAATAAATTCATATTTTTATGCAACCATCACCAGCATCCCACTCCAAAGCTCTTCTATCAACTCAAATTGTAACTCTATTGATATTTGACACTGGCTCCCTACTGTTCCCTCTCCCCAGCTACTGGTCACCCTTAACCTACGTTCTGTCTCGGAGCACGTTCCCATTCTAGGTCCCACACATAAGTGGAACTATTTAATAGTTGTCCTTTTGTGCCTGATTTATTTCACTAAGCATAATGTTTCCAAGGCTCACCATTGTTGTAACATGTCCGAATGTCGTTCCTTTTTGAGACTGAATAATATTTCACTACCCATAGAGTCTACATTTTATTTATCCATTCATCTGTCAGTGCACATTTTGGCTAAACTGTGACTAACTCTGCCCAGACATGATTGGACAAGTATCTGAGTCCCTGCTTTCCATTCCTTTGTGTGTACACTAAGAATGGAATTACTGCATCAACAGGATAATTCTATGTTTAACTTGGTAATGGACTACCCAACTATTTTCCACAATGGCTGTATCATTTTACATTCCCACCAGTAATGCACAAGGGTTCCAGTTTCACCACATCGTCCCCAATCCTCGTTACTTTGCTCTTTGTGTTTGTATGACAATAACCATCCTGATGAAGATGATGTGGCCTCTCCTTGCGGTTTGATTTGCATTCCCCTAATGACTATGGACTGCTGGGCATTTTTTCACATGTCTGTTGAACATGTGTACACTATTTTCTTTGTAGAAATGTCCTTGACACATTTCAAATGACCATGCACTTTTGTGGCAGTAGACTGCTTCTGTCCGGGTTCAGCCATTTGATAGCTGTGTGTCTTGGGCTAGGTACACTATTTCTCTGAGCCTCAGTCCCTTTATCTATAAGACAAAAATGGGAACAGCTGTCTTACAGGATTCTGTGAGGATTAAGTGAGTTTATATCTGGAAAGCGCATTGTAAAGCACCCTAGCTGACACTCACTAAGTATTAGATTTACTCCTACGCCAGACGGCTTGGAGAAGAAAGAGACTGGATTTAGGGAAGCAATCAGGAGATACTTTCCTGCTGTCAGTACACATAGACATGGTGTCAGAGATCTTTTAGTCCAGCCCCTCTATATCACAGAAAGACACAAAAAGACGAGTCTGTATGCATAGAAGCAAGAGGAGTTCTTAAAATCACATCTGCAGAGCCCGAGTCCACACTTCTCTCTGTCACACAAAATCTTTCTCTCCACGTAAGACTGGAACCGTATTCATGTCCTCACTGAAATGACGGACATCTTCGAAATCGCTGCAGTGATCTACGTTAGCGACAATGGTAGGCTTGGACAGAGGTCTGCTGCAGTCAGCTCTGAGTACTGAGGGATTGCACATAGGAGCAAGAGGGAGTGCGGTCTCCGGCCTTTCATTTGCGAGTAAACAAGCCCTGGGCTCTCCCGTCCTCAGGCTCTTCTGCTTTGCCATCAGTGTTTCAGTTTATTCTGACCTGCTCCCACCTGCCCTGCTTAGTTCCTGTATGTGTGGGAGAAACCAATTAGCGTGGGAACTTGGGACTTGAAGAATCTGTCTCAGAGAGACATCTCTTGGGATCCCCATAGAGCACCCCAGAGTACACAGAGCCATTTGCTGGCTTATTAGATGGAACCCTGCTTATCTTTCTGCAATGCACTTATTCTGTGCCTGCCAGTAGGTGTAGCAGGGCTATCTCCAGCCCCCATGGTAGCAGATGTCAGAAATGAGATAAATGGACAGAAAATAGTTGAAGTTACACAGTCTGCAGAGGGTATTAATGGCCTCTACAAAGCACCCTGGCCTCGCTGCCCAATGCATCCATGTGGCCTCTCTCGCAGGACTGAAGCTGAGGTTCCTCTCCAGTAGCAGAATCCACTGCCATCAGCTTTCCATAAAGCTGCACACTACGCACCTTTGAGGGACTCAGATAATGTGATTTCTCCCGTCTCCCATCCCGGAACAACCCAGCACGCACCGCGTTTGTCACTAAGCCACACGGCCACCTCTCGGCACAGTCTGCTTTCTGATGATTCACATCAAATTTCCTGTTTGGTTTCCTTTAGAGATAGATGGCTCCTGATGTTCTGCCCCATCTTCTCACGGTGCATCCGGCCCAAGAATCTTATCATCCTCGTCCGCTTAGCAGCTGTAGTCTGCACTGAGGCTGCCTCAGACAAAAGCAAGTTTCAGGTCTTAAAACTGTTGCTCATTTCTTCTGGCCCTCTAGGTTCCCCTTATCTTCTAAGACTAATACTAGTGAGTGTCTCTAAGTCCTGCATCTTCTGTGATAGCACATACGATAGGCACAAGAAGAACCAGGCTTCCTCCTCCTGAGGCAAAGGGAAAAACCCAGGGGCCTGCAAAGCAAAAGGGGGCCCCCAACCTGCAGTGGGAGATAATGTCAAGCCTTTGGGTGTTGTCTAGTGCAGCCAGATTATGGTGAACACCACAGGCAGAGGCAGCTGTGGGGAGGACAGGTGATCTTCAAACTTCGTTTGCCAGAAGTGCCTCAAAGGGAAAACAAGTTGGAGAGGAGGAGAAGAGGCTGGCTCATGGGGTCTCCTCCTGGAATTCAAGCAGAGCAACTCTGAGTTCATACTTGTTAAAGAAGCTTTTCTTCGGCAGAAGGCCTCCCAGGGCTCCACAGACACAAGTCCACCAGGGTGCTGGGGAAGCCCCTGCTCTGACAGACAGAGTCCTGGGTCCCAACTTAGCTCCGTGGCTTTTGGCCACAAGACTGAGAGGCGTGGCTGAGACCCTCTGAGTTTCATGAGCTCTTAAATGTTACGCGTAATCCTCAGATGGCTGTGCCAGTTCCAAGTCAGAAACACGTGGCACTGAATTCAAGTTCAGTTACTCAGCTCTTACCCCAGAGAGGAGCCTCAGCCTCCCTGCAGTTCAGTTCATCCTCATGTATAATCACTGATAATATTAATGACATTACAAGTTTGTTGCGAGAACTGAAAATGGTGGGCAACATTTCCCTTGGCCCCAAGTATTTGTTCAGCGAAGGGTAGCTGTGACCTATCATGATGTTTCTGAACGTAACTACTAATTCAGCCGTCAGCCACCAGCCAGTGCTCAGGAGCGAATCTCTGGGTACATAAGTGAAAGTTTACCAATGTGTTCATACAGGAAAATCTGTCACACCAATCATTAAAAAAAAAAAAAAGCGAGAGAACAAACTGATGTGTCCATCCATTGGTAAGTGAACGGGTAAAGTATGGATTGTTCCTGTGTATATTTGCATTGTTACTCATGGACAGGTTTATTGATTTGTTTTATTGAAAGTGAGCTTTTTGGTTATTTGCTTCTTTATAGTTCTCTGTATTAAAAGTAAGTCCAATAAATGTTATTCTTTATGCAAATATTCTGTATCATGTATCTGTCAAATGAATAAATATTTTGTGTTGATAGTGATCCCAAAGGTGATCCCAAAGGGAGTGTGGGAATCCCAGGTGGCTCCAGGCCAACCATCGGTAGGATCAGGTGCTCAGGAAGGATTTGGCGTGGCCGGCCTGTGCTGCTGAATTCCTCCGTCCACTTGATGAATTACTCGGTCCTTCTTGAGCTCTTCAACAGGAATCACCTCCCGACCCTTGTTTTTATTTCTCTCCATTTGACAGCAGGCAGCTGAGAGGGAGGAAATTTTACAGTTCTCACCAGGTCTCAAAGCATTTAACCAAATGCTCAGCTGAACTGGCCAGGGTTGACCTCTAAGACATAAAGGCGACCTCCTGGTTTTCAGCGTAGTTTTCTTGACAGTCAGGTCTGAGAGTGAAGAGTCTCTGTGTCCCCAGGCAGCTAACTTGTGCCACTTAGCAGAAGGGAGGGGCTGCTGTCCGTGAATATAAAGCTCAAGTCTTCAGGCTTCACTGTTTTATTATTTATATTTCTTATCCTGACTGCCTTTACTATAAAATATTTATTCTTTAGGAATCCAGGTCAGTGCTAATCAGATATTTTCATCATCTGGATGAAAGATTAAATCCTCTAGATTTAATTGAGCCAACAGCAGCCTAAAAATGCAATAGTTTTGGTCTAGAAAAGGAAGTTACGAATAGAGGTGTCTGCTCCCGCTACCTATGAGCAGCCCACACATGCATATGCTGAATGTCACAGTCCTTCCTCTGGCTTCAGGGTACCACATGACATCCTGTCACGTCTGATTTCTTGTGAAATGTGCCAAGAGCTACAGAACTTCTCTTTCTCCCACCCCCAACTCCCACACGCTCGATACCCCTGTGCTCATGAAACATGGCCGCTTCCCTAGGCTCAGAACAGTCAGATGATAGTTAACTGACTCACCCGTGTGGTGTGTGACTGATCAATGGATGATCATTTTCCTGGGGAAAGTGAAGATTTTACCAGAGACGCACTGAGGTCCCCAGTCCTCAGGCGCCCTTTCCTCCTCACGCCTCCCAGCTGAGACATTAGCCCATGACCTGCTGTAGGAGGGGAAAGAGAAGACAGCCTCTTTCCATCGGTGGTTCTGTCAGCCCCACTCCTTTCTATCTTGGGTGTCACACATTCCCACCCCCACCAGGACCAGAACCCTCAGACCCTCCCCCTTTTGTTTTCCTGTGAGTGCACGGGCATTTTTGGTATGAACCACTTCCTACACTGCCTATCTTGTGTTATCTGGACCAAAAATGGAAAGATTTGATTCGTAGGGCCCCAGGACTTCCAGATACCAATTTTCCACGCACAGTGATGCGTAGCCAGACTGGGGACTGCAGTGTGGAAGAAGACAGAGAGCCCAGGCTGAGAAGCCCATCCACGAGTCCCAAGAGGTCTGCGAGCTCCTGGGTGGCCACTGCTGACCGCCCGGTCTGCTTCCATGTCCTGTCCAGCTGTGCCTAGGAGGACCTCTGCATCCTGGCTGCCCGGCTGCTCCTCTAGTGACTTTGCTGTGCTCTTCTGAGTCACAGCCTTTCTCTGAATCAGCCCAGAGGTGGGGTCCTTCTCCATCTGTATTTTGCTCAAGTAGGAGGCGAGGGTGTGGCGGGGGAACTACCAGTGAGCCACTCGGCTACAGCTGGAGTCACTTTGTCATGTCACTAACATTTTTATTTCATTACAGCTTGCCTTTCCTTTGGAAGTTGGCACGGGTTCTTGGGACCAAGAGACACTGTGGAATGCGGGCTGCAAAAAATGTCACCAAAACAACCTGTTGACAAGCCAGAGCTCTGTTTATTGCTCACAGCAATAAATGAGATTTCTACTGCCTGTACTCCCAGCACTCTGGAAGGCTGAGACAGAAGGATCCTAAGTTTGAGCCAAGCTTGAACAACTTGAAAGACACCGTCTCTGAATTTTACAATGATAAATAAAAAAAAAAAACAATAGAACAACAAAGGACTGAAGATGTCTGAAAAAAAAACCCTTCTCCTCCTAGTCTTGCCAGCATCTCAGATGGACTAAAGAATGTGTAGTCCTGGATTCTGCAGTGTAGTTTAAGGCAAATCTTTCAGTGTGCCGACACGGTTATGACTGAGTAAGGATCATGATATTAACATTTAAGATGGATGCACCAAACAAAACAGGATTTTGAGGCAAGAAGTTTTCAAGAGTCTTGGGTATAAACTGATGCTTTTGATTGAAGAGGTATTTCAATCAGTTTCTGTCATGATCAAAGTTATCTGCAGCTTCCACCTGCCTGAGGGAGAATTTCCTGGAGGTGTGCTAAGGAAGACAGCACAGGAGTAAAGCTCTGTGTAGAGCGGATGATGTGGATCTAGAGGTTTGCTGCTCACTAATAAGGAACCTCTGAAGCCAACAGCGCTCCGTACCCCTCTGCTCTGATCCCAGCCAGCCAGTTCCACGACTCCTGCAGAATCTGCAGACCTACAGGGTTGAGCCTCTCGTCTTCCCCCATCGTGGCTCTGAGGTAGACTAGCCTAGAAGAGATAGACAGGTAGAAAGGAGACAAGAAAAAAAGTCATAATTTTAAAATTATATGTTTAAGAAAACTGTAGTTTCTGGACACAACATGAGGGTTGTAATGTCTTTCAGGAAACTTGCTCTCAAATTGATAAAAGATACAATAAGTCTGAGAATTGGGCCTCTGCCTTTCTCCTGAAAATGAAGCCTAAGTTTTTATCCCGATACTGTAAACTCTCAAGCTCTGCAGACTTCTACACTGAAGGGAACCACACAGTTCATTAGGTACCTAGCTCTAAACTTCAAATGCATGCAAATGGTTTGCAGCTTGGCTTAGCCCACTCACAGGTGACCTGACAGACACGAAGTACACATGGTCGATCATCGATCTTGAGGACGCCCCGAAGAACACTAAATACCCCAGTCTCAGATCATGCTGTACCTCTGTCTTGAGGGCTTGTACTCATTTCCTTTATATACTTATTTAACTTTGCCTGAGGAATCTGTCTATGCCTCTCACTGATGGATCTTCAAACGCTTTTCTGTGATGGAAGTCAGTGACCTACTCTGTGGGTAGGCACCAATTGAGGGCTCCATCTCTTCTTTGGGGAGACTGCCTGGGGTCTCATCTGGTGACCCATCAATTCACCATCTAGAAGGTAAAGCATTCCTGTTGCATCCTAGCTCAGATGCCCATCGTCTGTCCACCAGGTTCCCTGGGCTTTCGTGGCAACAGAATTCCTTCCAGTCTTCTGGACAGGTCTTGACATGTCCAAACCCACACACAGTAGTCGGTCTATATGGGCCCTTTCCCTAGGACTCCCACAGATACAACATTGCATAAGAAGCAGAATGTGACTCTTGAGCACTTTTTTGTGGCATCATGTTTAAAAATACTACAAAAATCATGTACGTCATTATTTTCATTACTATAGCAAATGGGGCCAAGATGGGTAAACACCAACATTTCCACTCCTTTTTTCCTACTGTAGTCTTTGCTGACAATCTTCTGACCAGCCGGGGACCACATTTCTTGGCTTTACGTGACTCTGTGTGGCCACATGGCTGAGTCTCGCCAAAGAGCTGCGAGCAGAAATGACACTCAGTCTTACAGTTCGGGGCTTCATTTCTTCCTCCTATTCTGCCAGTTTGATGTAGATAATAGTAAGGTCCAGGGCACAGCCAGTAAGAGAGAAGCAGCCTGAGTCTCAGGATTGAAAAATCAGGTGAAGTCACCAGCCACATGGGAAATGAAGGAGAAATAAACTCCTGTTAGGCTAACAATACAGAATGTTTGCTCTGTTTGTTAGAGCAGATCATGAAAGAAGTAAAATGATAATACTCCTCCCATGGAGAGTCCGAAGAAAACAATCTCTGTCATTATTTTGAACCTAAAAACCTACCCTAGAAAAAAATACCAGGCTCTGGTTTTGGGTGGCCTTGACAGAAAACCAGAATAAATTAATTTGGATTTTAGCATATTAATAAGGTAGCAGGTATTTATAGAACATCATTAGGTGATCATCCTTTTGAGAACCAGTTTGCTTCTCGGGAAAGGTTTTGGCAGCTGTGAAAAGGCTGATAAGATTTCATTATTCCTCTGCACACTGCAACAAACTGAGATATTCTGCTTTACATGCTTCAGATGGAGAGAAAGACAGAGACAAAGTTCCGTTTCAGCCAGAGCTGCCTCGATATATAGGTCATGTTTCCCAGAACTGAGTGTGCTGCAGAACCAGAACAACCTCCCCAGAGCCCTTCAAAGCAGTACCCTTGTCTGGAAGAATTAATGTCCTTCTTTGCCACAGGAGCCCCGACTTTCAGAGCCCCTCCTTCTACTTGGGCTCCCCGAGTGCAAGTATTTGGACTGCATTGAAAAAAAAAAATAAGAAATATCCCCTCTTATTTCTTATATTCTAACATGTGATAGAAGAGGACTTAATACTGACCCGGGCACACACATGTTAGGATCCCCAGGATAGCAACTGTAAAAGAGCTTAGCCACGTTGGTTTGGGAGCGAGCCCTGCCCAAGAGCATTGCTACCGTGTGTGAGCTTGTGCATTCTGAGTTCTTTATTCTGACCTTACAGTCCCACTATGGCATTTAACCAGCTTCTCTGCCTGCTATGCCATTTTCCGTAAGACAAATGGATGCAATCGGTCAATTTCATGGGGTTGGGGTAGTTTATAGATGTTAAACGGTGACAGACTATAAACGAGGGAAATACAGAGGACTGGAAATAAATACTACTTAAATGCCAATCAGGCTTGCCTTTGGCATTTCTTCCTATGACAAGGTTTGAAGAATATATATATATATATATATATATATATATATGTAAATCTTTTTAAGAATTTTATTTTCTCAGTAAAACATTTACATGGAAAAATAAATGGTAGCATGCGACTCATCTGTCTCATCAAACACAAAATGATTCCACAGGTAAAATAAAGATTCATGAGAGGAAGCTATCCAGCTCATACTTGTTCATTCATTCGTAAGAGCGCGAAGCTCCTGCAAACTGGTTTGGCAACATTCTCCCCTGAGGAAGTCACCAGGGTACCTGCCGTACACTCACATGTGTGAGTCTTGGCTTTGGTGGAGTTATTTATGGGCAACACGCGATGAGAGGGTTGCCCTTTTGGGTTTGGATGGGAGTGAGAAAAGCAGTTGGCTCCAGCACTGGCGGGCTTGGAAACCTCAGACAGACCAGTCACCGGGGCCTCCCATGCGAGAGCAGTTCTTCAGCGCTACTGGGCGTGTTACATGCCAAGGAAAATAAGACGCTATTGGAAGGCGCTGGGTTTAGCCATCAGTTACAAAGAACAATAATTAAAAGCTCTTTTGAATGGCCACCTTTACTCAGCTAGTTGCACCTATTAACTTCCACATAGTGGTTCACATTTCAGTACTCAAAAAACACAGGAATGTCTATTTTTAAGACTGTTTTCATAACATGAGATTAAAAAAAAATAAGTACGCATACCTAAATTTGCTTTTGGTCCAAGGGTTCTTTTTTGTCTTAAAGTTTCCAAATAAAAATTAAAAACCTTAGACCCCTTGAAGGTTTTGGGAAATGAGAGAGAGCAGTCACCCCACAGAGACCTTGTGATGCTGTCCTCTCCTCTCCTGAACTGAGGGAAAGGGCAGCCCAGGTGCCCCCTCTGCTGCGCCCCCTGCCTGCTCTCCAGCACTGGGAGCCACACCGTGAGAAGTAGCTCTTCCTGTGGGTCACTTCCACTTTAAGAACAGAGAGGTGATTACTGTGGGAACACACAGAAGAACCAAAAAGAATTTAGGTTCCTAGTGTGGAAGCCATAATAGGATGAGCTCAAGGACTCTTGTAGGAATTAGTGGTCCTTCACTTCCAAACTCCAAAACCTGTGTCAGGCCATGTCACTTCTGGCTCCAAAATGCTCTGGCGGCCCCATGCCAATGCAAATAAGAGGTAAATTTTTCCTCTGAGCCCCAGCTCTATAGGACCCCCAGCGTCTTCCTGAGGGCGTCCCCCGAGTCACCTGGTTTTGGCCAGGCTGTCCATCTTGTGATCCCCTGAGACTCCCGGGTCACTCCTGTCTCCAGGTTCTTCTTGCTGTCCCCTTGCTGGAATCCTTGTTCCCAAATACCTTCTCACTGTTTCATTCATGTCTTGCTCAAATGTCACCTTCTCAGTGAGGCCTCCTCAGAGGGTCAAAAACAATAAGCCAGCCCACCCTACCCTCTCATCCAAATACCTACATTCTTTTTCAAACTTTTCATTATGCAACATTTTAAACATACTCAAAATAGTATAATGAGCCTTTCTTTAATCCACTACAGTTTGATGTTTTGTCCATCTTACTTCATCCATTCCCCTTCCATTTTTTTCCTGAATCACTTCTAATCCTCCCCAGCTTGTCATTACCAAATACCTGTATCTAATTTTTCCCCTTTTATCTCCCCCCATGAAAGTGCCAACCCCATGAGGGCTGAGATTTTTGCCCTTGTTCACTACTGTATTTGCACTACCCAGACACATGGTGTCTACACTGCTAGCTGGCACGGTAGGTGCTCGATGAATGGATGAGGAAATGAAGAACTTGCACCACAATGGTGGCTCCTTTTTTTCTGCCACTTCCCTCGCCACCTGACCAGCACAGCCATGAGCACCCAAGCACACCTACTTTGAATCTAATGTCCGTCCACACTATACCCACTTGCCCCATTACCAAACTCAATAGTTCCTGGGTCACATTGCCAAGAAACAAAGCCAGACTGGCCTGGCTGCCTGTCGCAGCACTGTGGCATGCTTGTGAATTAACTTTCCCAGGGTCTTCTGGTCATCACTGGTCATATGGTGCAAAAGACAGCACTGAATGAAGCCATGCACAGGGCAAGTCATTTGAGATGCAAGTGACTGCAATTTATAAGCAAATTAGATGTGATTGGGAAGTTTTGTTTAAGATGGTGAATAACTCTCTGGGCATCCTCTAATATTTCTAGCCATTCTTGAAGTGATTTTGTATCCTGCAGAAAAGATTGTTTTTGCCAGGCAGTACATACGAGGGAGGAAAGAATGTACAGAGACAGTGTGTCTTGGATCCATTTCACTGTTCCATCACCATCAGGGTTGCCAGCCAGCAAAGCCCTTTAGGTATCGGAGACATTCTCCAATCAGGCCTCCAGTAAAAGCCAGGGAATGTTGCCAGCCAAAATGACACATTAGGAACCTGCAGGACCAGTAATACATTTGCACCCAACAACAACACAACCAGGGCTGCTTGGCACTGCTCCTGCCAGCAGTGCTTCCCTGTCTACCCACCAAAGAGGAGTGGCTCGCTTCTTGGCCAACTCCTGTGTAAACCAAGTAATGACCAGGGAAAAGCAGATTCCAAAGAAAGCATCACCACATCAAAGCATACTTCAGGGCTCTTGCATTCTTTTCAATAAAGACTCCACCCACCCACCAGGGATTGGCAACTCTGTTCTACCATGTTGGACCATTTTTAAGGCCATCTTATTTTCAGAGTTCTGAGTTTGTGCAGACTTGGCAACTATGAATTATTGATCCTTCATTAGTTGTTGGATCTTTTATTTGTGTTTATTGAGATATCTCATGACAATATCCATTTTCTGGGTTCATTTTTTCAAGAGTAAGTTTTATATTTATCTGGTTTTGCCTGAGCCAGTCCATGGTTAAAACACTAACACACCTCTGTACCATCCCATAAATAGTGAATGCCCTAGGCACCTGCACTCTCAAGGCCTCCACAGTCTCAGGTACCCTAACCCTGAACTGAAAGGTTATTATTGACAGAGTAGGGAATCACAGAGTAGGGAATCTGATTAGCCTGCATCTGTGCTATAAGTCTTGTTAAATATTTTGAATACCACCCATGCATCTAACTGCAAATCAACAATTACACCTTGTTTTGGACATGTATTTCTCCGGACATAAAGAAAGTAATAAGGGGCTGGGGACTTAGCTCAGCAGCACAGGTACCTGCCTAGGAAGCATGAGGTCATGAGTTCAGTTCCCAGTACAAAAAAAAAAAAAAAAAAAGGAAGTTATGCACTGGTATTGGAATTGGAGCAAGGTCTGATTGCTATAGAGATGCGAGACAGCTGGGAACAGAATTGGTCATCTAAACAGTGATGGAAAAGCAGGAAAATTTAGGCATTTTCCTGTACTTTGGACTTTTCTCCAATAGAACGATACCAACAAAGATAGGAATTTGGGGTTGATTTGTGTACTCTACTACCAGCATCCAAAATGGTGGTCAGTCAGAACACAGAAATTGCTCAGTATACACATTTAGCTCTTGAATGAACACACAAGTTCCCCGATGCGTTGACCCAGGCATTGCCTAAGTTAACAAACCTGGGTGAATCTAAAACCTTTCAGGATTTCTCAGTGTTGATGCTTTTTCTTGATTACTAAATCTCTTTGCACATCTACCCGTAGAGGGAACCATATCCAAAATGCACAGCATGGCTGAGGTTCCAACATACACAGCAAGAGAATATTTATGGCCTTCTTCTGGACCTAGAAGGCATTCTAATTTCTCCAAAAGACTGTGAATTTTATTTCTGGAAATTTAGTCTCACATTTGACATCACTCTGCTAATGCAGCGGACACCACTCTAGGGTCTCTTTCAGTGAGGGAAACACAAAAGAAGCAGTAATCAGATGTCACTGCCCTGTCATAGCTGCGTTGCAGTGTCCACCACCTGTCTACCATGTCCTTAGAGGTCCAGGGCGTGGAATGGGGTTAGGAGCAGGAAAAGTATCCACAGAAGGCTTTAAGAATGGGAAGAACTGAGTTCATGTGCTTTGGTGTCCTAAGAAAGGCCACTCATGGAGAGTGGGAGAATCAGGTTTTACCCACCCACCCATCCTTATCCCCTGGCCCCTACTCGCTACCAAGTCTGCTCCCTGGGAGATGCTTCCTGTCATCAGCATCTCAGGGATGTGGTTGAGTGGTGAAAAGACACAAAGCCTCTGAAGGAAAGCTTGGAATGTGTGACATTTGAAAATCAGCTTCTTCACTGCTCACAAACTCATAGAAAGAAGCATCCACCTGCGACTCTATGTCCCAAGTGCAAATCCTCTGGTCTCTCTCATTTTTTGTTTGGGGACCAATGTGGTTTTGAACACAAATTCTAGAATGAGCTCTCCTCCCCACAGCATTAATATTCTGAGTTTTGTCTCTCCATTCAGTCCTTGTTTTTCCAATCCTCCTGCTGAGACGACAAAAGAAATGGCTTCCCGTATGCATGGTACACCCAGTTCAGAACTGGGTGTCTCAGGTTGTGAGTGTCACAGGTCTAGGGCAAAGGACCAACAGGGATTGTCTGAGTACACACAAGGTGGGTGAGTCTCTGAGAGCTGATGTCTATGATTGGATGGAGATGGAAGTTCTAGATGCACCAAGAGGAAGTTCTAGACCATCACATGCTGTCTGACAACTGGTCCCAGCCTCCCCAGCCTCCAGGATTTCAGATTTCTGCAGTTTCCTGGGACCTCTGCTCCATCTTGCTTCTTTTGTATTTCATCCTGTGCTTTCCTCTCTTTCCACTTGCCTATTACAGCACAGAAGTCTCCAAGCAGATGACACTCAGACCAAGAGCTGACTCCTTCAACTCTAGTCATGACATGGATACCAAGGGCCACCACCTACCGTGCCTCACAATTATCCTTTGTTTTTAACCCTTTCATCCCTGCATTGCCAAGCAGTTTGGAAACATTAATTAATAATCCCTCGCAAACAGCAAGGGTTAT